TGCAATCCCCAAGACTATCATGGGATTGATGAAACTTGTGCCATGTCTGAGCATTTTAAGATAATGTGTGTGTGTGCAGGTTAGTTTTTTGTCACCTTGGTACAAGATAGAGTCATCTGAGAAGAAGGAAGCACAATTGAGGAAATGCCTCCATCAGATTGGACTGTAAGCAGGTGTGCGAGGCATCTTTTTGATTAATGATTGATGTGGGAGGGTCCAGCCTACTGTATGATTGATGTGGGTGGTCCTGGGTGGTATAAGAAAGGTGAGCAAGCCCGGGAACAGCACTCCTTGATGGTCTCTGCTTCAATTCCTGCCTCCAGATTCCTGGTCGAGTTCCTGCCCTGACTTTCTTCAGTTATGGACTGTGGTGTGGAAGACTAAGCCAAACACACCCTTTCCTCCACGAATTGCTTTTTGGTTATGGTGTTTATCACAGCAATAGAAAGCCAACTAGGACAGTGTGGCTTCTCAGATATTGTCTGTTACTTTAAGCCTGTGCCCTTATGGGTTTTCTCTGTTGGAATGCTTTGCCATAGGCTGATGCTACCTCTCATTTACTTGTTCCTTTGCATTTCGTGTTAAACAGTGAGGTCCTTGAAGAGCCTCTCAGTCTCAGTATGGTGTGGGGAAAGGAAAACTTAAGTGGTGACTTAAGAGATTTGAAGTGAAGGGCCAAACCAAAGTTAGCAAGTGTCTTAATTAAAACTACTGATGTTTTAAAAGGAATGCTTTATTTTTATAAAACTGATATTCAAGGCTGCCATTTTGTATGTGTAATATGTACATGTATGGTTCACAAGTGTGATGTGTATATGTATATTTCTGTGTGTGAGTATGGGCATCTGTGTGTGTGTGTGTGTGTGCAGCCAGCAGCCAGAGGAAAATGCTGGATCCTGTACAATCACTCTCTGCTGGAGTTTGAGACAGGATCTCTCATTGAACCAGGAGCTGATAATTAATTTGAAATAAATATATGTTATATGTGATATGTAATATATAGCATATACTAACCATGCAGTAAGTGGTTTCAACAAATGTATTAGCCCAAGTGTCTAGTAGAGATGGGTACATTCAGCTTTTGTGTAGCTAGAAATCTTAATTTCCTTTTCATTCCTGGGAGGTAGTTTTGCTGAGTTACTGGTTTATATTTTTTTCTTTTGGTGTGCTGAATATGTTAATCCAATTCCCCTGGCCTGTAAAGTTTCTGGAAACAAAAACAGAAACAAAACCACTCAGATCTCCCAGAAGCTCCTTTTATGAGGCAAGATACTTTTCTCTTGGTGCTTTCAATATTCTCCCTGTGGTTTTTGATACTGTATAATGCGTCTGGTGTAAATCTCTTTAGAGGTCTCCTAGTTGGAGTTTGCTGAGATTTTGAATTTGTGGACATGTTAACTTTTCTTTTAAATTTGGGAAGTCTGGGCCATATTGCTTTAGATAATCTTTCTTCTCCATTTTCATTGGTTCCTCCTTGAAGGCCGCACAGCGGGTGAGTGGGCCACCTGACAACACCCATAAGTCTCAGAAGCTCATACCACCTTTTCTCATTCATTTTCCATCTTGGACAGCCTGTCCTCTGTTGCTTTCTGCTTTTAAGTAGTTTGTCTTTGTTGATAGTCTCATCTTGTTCACGCTTCAATTTCTTGAATTCATTTGGTTGTTTGAACTCTTTTTTTTGTTATTGTTAGTTGGATATTTTAAAAATAATTATTGCAAATTCATTGTCAGGCAATTCATATACCTGTTTCTTTAGAGTGAGTTTCTAGAAATTTGTTCGGTTCTGTGACTGGGACGATGACTGGGTTGTTTTCCTCTCTGTCTGTCTGTCTGTCTGTCTGTCTGTCTGTCTCTCTCTCTCCTCTCTCTCTCTCTCTCTCTCTCTCTCTCTCTCTCTCTGTGTGTGTGTGTGTGTGTGTGTGTGTGTGTGTGTGTGTGTATCCTGTGTGATCTTTCAGAGAGATTTGGCTCTATGAAACAATGACCACTTCTGCCATTTGTCACAGCTGGCTTAACACAGAAGCAGCTCCCTGGGAGTATGCAGGCCTCTCAAACTTTTTCTGGGTCTCTCTGGGACTATGTGTGTGATTTCCCAGATATAGAAGTCTGCCCTGTCATTGAGCCCAGTCTATAATCTCTCGTTTCTGTTGGTGATTTGTTTGCGGTACTGCGGATTCTTAAGGGCTGTGGCAACCTTCTGTGCCGGCTAGCGTTTGTTCTCAGTGACCAGTAAGCATCCAAGTATTCTGCTTCCCTTCCCCAGAGTCATGTCATCAGGCAAGGCCTGCTAAAGCCACAGTACTGATGCACATTTATCTCCTTTCTTTCTCTTTTGCGGGAGAAACATGTCTTTGAGTTTTCTCCCCTTTCTGCCCACTGTGCTAGTTGGGAGGGAGATATCTGGAGTGTGATGGCTAATTTAGATGGATTAAGGAACACTTAGGGCAATAGGTACAGGTTTGAATGTGTCTAAGAGCTTTTCCAGACTGGATTAAGCTAATCTGAATGTGGGTGGCACTATCCCCTGAGCTAAGGTCTTGGACTGGAGAAAAAAGGAAAAAAAGCTAGATGGCTGATAGAATTTTCCCTCCTTGGTTTGTGAACCCACAGAGATGTGAACAAGTGACCTCCCAATAGCTCTGACCTGAGCTGGCCAGGCAGCCAGACCGTTCCTAGCATGATAGAGCATATTCCACGAACCAGGACCTGAAGCACTCTTCTCTTGCAGTGAGCACAGTGGTGTGTGCCTTATACCTCAGCATTTGGAGGCTGGAGATTGGAGATCAGAACCTCAACGCCAGTCTCTACCACACAGAGTTTGAGGGCAGCCTGGGTTACATGACACCTAGTCTCGCCACAAACACCACCATGGATACACAGTAGAAACCTCTCTTTCTTCCTTCAGTGACTTGTGGCAGGAATTCTGTTGTAACAGAAAAGTTTCACTCCTACAGCAAATGAAAGCAGCACACTTCACTTGCTTTGACATGACTATTCTTGGCTCTGCCCTCACTGGGGCATACTCCACCTCTTAATTGGTTTCAGGAGGTCTCACAAAGGCAACTTTGTTTGTAGATTTTTGTTAAATTGTTGTCTTTATCGGGGAAGGTGAGAGCTGAAGGCTTCCTGTTCAGCCATTCTACATGGCTCTCAAGTATAACCGGAATTTCTTTATGAGATGGGGATAATTAATATTTGCAGAACTTTGGTAATTAAAATGATAGAAATGGCAACACACCTGCTCCCTGTCTCCTCTTGCCCCTGACAGGGATTCAATACCTGTTTCAGACTTCTGGCTTTGCAGTCTCCGTGTTTGCCTGCCTCTCTTTAGCAACTGTTGCTATCATTTTAGCAAATGCTGAGCATGTACCAGTCATTCCTCACACCCCTGTTATATGTATAAACTTCTTTATTATAATAGTTGTAAATAGGTGATACTATGGCCTCATTTACATGTGAGAAAATTGCTTATAGAAAGTAAACAATTTATTTAAGGTCAGGAAGCTGAAACTGGTCTCAGATTCAATTTTTAAGAGGCATTTCACTTTTAAGCACAGGAACTAACTACTGCACTTATTGTCATGGAGAAAGTTCATGTTACTCATATAATGAAGGGGTCTCTTGGTCCTGATTGCCATGAAAGTAAATGTGTTTAGATGTTAACTGTAGTCTCCTCAGTTGCAAATTAAGAGTGATAAGTTTCTAACAGGGCATGGTGGTGCATAGCTTCAGTCCCAGCATTTGGGAGGTAGATGCTGGTGGATCTCTTTGAGTTCAAGGGCAGCCTGGACTATAGAATTCCAGGATAGCCAGAGCTACACAGTGAGACTCTGTTGTGAGAGAAACAGCACTTCTCTTCCAAAGAGTGATAATTTCTTTTATAATTGTTTTAATTTTTGAATTTCATACACAAATGCAATGTTCTTTAATCTTATCTACATCCCTCCCAACTCCTGTCATGTCCCTCCTTCCCTTTTGAAGTCATATTCTCATTTTTAATTGTATATATGTATGTATGTGTCTGTATGTACACACACACACACACACACACACACACACACACACACCCTACTGAATCCAATTAGTGTTGTCCATATGCACATAAGTGTATGGCTGACCGTCTTGTCTATGAAGAAAACTCTCAGAAGCTGCAGATTGTCAGTAGCTTGTCCACTAGGAGTGGAGCCTTGTGAGCCCTTTCCCCACCCATGGTGGAATGTTGACTGTTGTGGTCTGGAGCAGGTTTTGTGTAGGAGCCATAGCTGTTGAAGGTTCATGGGCACATGTCCAGAGGACAGCAGTCTTCCCGGTCCTCTGGCTCTGACAATCTTTCTGCCCTTGTTCTCAGATGTTTCCTGAGCCTTGGGTCAGGACTTGTATTATAGATGTTCCATGTTTGGATGGAAACTTCACAGTAACTGGTTCAGTTGTGGTTCTTTGCAGTAGCTTTCATCTGCTGCAAAAGCTGCTTCGGTGAGGGGGTGAGAGCTGCACTAACCTAAAGGCATGAGAAGTAAGTGTTTGGAAGGCAATTGGAAACTCTATCAATTTAGCAAAATGGTGGTGGTAGCTTCTTGAAGAGGTGTTTTACATCATGAAATGAATATTCTTTAATTCGAACGATTGTTGTTTATATTGTATAAACTGTACATAGTTAGGTCAACCTTAAATGGAGTCTTTTGTTTTAACAGGTAATTACTCAGTTATTATGGATATTATTTTGTGTTAATTACAAATGGTAATTATGATGCTAAAAGTGTCTATAATTTCGTATCTAAATGAAAGTGACATGAAAGATGAGAGTTTTTGACAGTTGCATGTAAAAGATGTATTGTGATCGTGTGGCTGCCCCATTACCCTACCTTTTCCCTCTCCTGTTCTTGTGTGTCCTTGTGTCCTCATGGCTTACTTTATTTTATCTTATGCAAGTAGCCATGGAGATGAATTTTGTGTATGTGTGTGTATAGATTTTTTTCTTTTTTTCTTTTTTTTTTTTTTCAGGACAGAGTTCATTCAAAGAGGCAGAATTTCAATCACAGGGGCTGGATTTCTCAATTGTATTTTGGAAACTTTTGCTAGTGCATTCTTAAGACAGGGAGCCCAGAAGGTAAGCTTGATTCTACTTTCAACTAACATTAATTTTAAGAAAACATGGAGGAATCCGTTGGGTTGTTGAATATGACATAGTAGAAGAACATCATGAAGGTATTATATAAAAAAGGGAGTTAATAAATGTATCCACAAAATTTCTTTTAATAATTTTAACCAGGCTAAACCAGTCTGAATACATCCTAATGAGCGCTGCACTGGGTTATTGAGATTAATGATATGTTCTTGGCCTAGTTGAGGGGGTTTCTGTCTTGGATCCAATCTGGTTTAGCCTAGGCTGGAAGGGAATAGCTGAATTCCTAGAAGGTCTTGTATTGCTTTTACTCACTGAAACATTATTATACTTGTTTTCTGCTAGGTCACTAGCATTAGCTAGTACATTAGCTTTAAAAAAAAAAAAAAAAAAAGAAAAAAAGAAAAATACCACCACTACCCTCCTATCTGCAAAATTGCAATCTCAAAGTAATACCCCTGATGAGAAAATTAATTTTATCACTGTGTCTCTGACTGAGTTGACTCCTTGTTCATCTATTAAGTCCCATATTAGAAAAGCCATAATAATAATAATTAAGTATAATTGTTTTGCACATAAGTCTATTCATCAAAAGGATGGAAACCCTTTTGGGAGCGATAATATTTAAAAGTTGAGGTTTCTTATTATTAAATTGGCTACACATAGTCATTTGTAAAATAAAATAAAACTCTATCCCGTGGTCTCTATAAAAACAGATAGCAAGCTGTATTAATCCTGGAGGGTTATGGCTTGCTTTTCTTTAGATAAATACACGTTGTCCATTCACCCAAGTGACTTTGTATTTTACCTGTTATCAATCTGAACATATTAATAGTTGTTAATCATGTCTTGATCCTGTAAAATATATGAAGTGGTCTGCATTCCCATTTTATTAGTGAAAGATGATTATATACACCCAGTATATCCTTATCATCTTGCCTATCTTTTTTCTTCTTACAGGAGAGCACCTGCCTTGTGCTAGGCACTGTGTGAAATGTGGGTGTGTTAGTTTGAAATAGTTATGCTCCCCATAGACTTATGTTTGAATGCTTGGCCTATAGGAAGTGGCATTATTAGGAGTGTAGCCTTGTTGAGGTAGGTGTGACTTTTCTAGAGGAAGTGTTTCACTGTGGAGGTAGACTTTGAGGTCGCATATGCTCAAGCTATGCCCAGCATGGGACTGAGTTCATTTCCTGTTGCCTGCAGATGTAGAATTCTCATCTCCTTCTCCTGCACAATGCCTATCTGCCTGCTGCCTTGTTTCCCACCATGGTGATAATGGACTAAATCTCTGAAACTCTAATCTAAGACAGGGGGCTAAATGTATGTATTTGATTATAGAAATAGTGAAATGTAGGCTTTAGACTCACAAACCATCTTCCATTGGCAACTGTTCAATTCTCCTTCAAGGCCCCAGGTAGATGCCGTAAAGCCCTTACCTTCTCAACAGAGTGACCTTCCCACAAATGACTGTGCTGGGACAGACTTATGTTGTGCACAATACTCCTTGTATATATTAGTATTCTTTGGGTGTCAGTGACAAAACACACTTTGGGTTGGTCATTGGAATGGTGCAAGGGTGCTGAGGCTGACTGCTGGCTTCAGGAAGAGTTGCACTGAGGTGGGAGCCTCTGATCACCTTTGTAGGATTCCTTCTCCAATCTAGTCCACCTGGTCCATAGAGATATGTGTCTTCATGGTTCTCTTTTCTTCAGTCCGGTTCTCTCTGTGTGGATGTTGAATAGAATTCTAGCCAATGAAAAGACCAACTGCATCTCTCTCTCTCTCTCTCTCTCTCTCTCTCTCTCTCTCTCTCACACACACACACACACACAAAATGACTGTTTCTTCTTTTTCTAATGCTTCTAGAAGAAGAGGCACTTGTTTGCAAACAGGTCAAACAGGACTAGAGGGTTGGATGACAGTAGTACAAACATGACCATCTTCTCTGCCATGACCATGACTGAGGTCACTTCTCAGAGAAAGGGCTTGGGGGGAAAATATTCCCAAGCCATTTTTGTTTCTACTATTGTCTCACAGTAGACT